TCAGGGAAAGAACAAGAAGCTATAACAAACGTTATCAGGAGCTTAGTGGTTAAGAGCACTGGCTGCTCTTGCAGAGGATCCAGGCTTGAGTCTCAGCACCCACATGGTGGCTCACAACCATCTGTGACCCCAGTTCCAGGGGATTTGATGCCTTCCTTCTGTTCTCTGGGAGCACTGCATGGACATGGTGCACAGTTATACACACAGGTAAAAGATAATAAATTATAAATGAAAATTAAAATTTAAGTTATTCTAAATTTCAAGGAGTTTACGTTTTATTTCAGAAGGGAGTGGTTAATAGAACTTAGTGGTTATTTTGTAGATTTGTGTATGCACATTTGTGTGTGTGAACATGTCTATGCATATGAGTATGTACATGTGTACATATTTGTGTGTGTTTGTATATGTGTGTATGTTTATGTGTGTACATGTGTGCATGCTTATGTGTGTACATGTTTATGTGTACATGTGTTTTCATGTTTGTGTATGTATATATGTATGTGCTAGCATGTGAAAGCCAGAAATCAACCTCAGGTGTTGTGCCTCAGGATACCATCTACCTTGTTTTTTGGAACATGTTTCCTCACTGGCCTGGAGCATAGACTAGCTGGCCAGTTATGTCAGATCCTCCTGCTTATACCTCTATGCCACCCAGCACTAGGATTACAGGTAGATGTCACCATACCCAGCTTTCATTATCTGAGTTCTGGGGACTGAACTTGGCTTTTTGTGCTTCCATGGCAAGTACTCTACCAACTGCACTATCTCCTCAACCTAGTGTGGTGGTTTGAATACGCTTGGCCCAGGGAGTGGCACTATTAGCAGGTGTGGTCTTGTTTGAGTAGGTGTGCCCTTGTTGGAGGAAGTGTGCCACGGTGGGGGTGTGCAAAGAGAGCTTCTTCCTAGCTGGCAGAGGATGCCACTCTTCTGACTGACTTCAGATCAAGATGTAGAACTCTTGGCTCCTTCTCCAGCACTGTGTCTGCCTGGATGCTGCCATGCTTCCTGCCATGATGATAATGGACTGAACCTCTGAATCTGTAAGCCAGCCCCAATTAACTCTTGTTCCTTATAAGAACTGTCTTGGTCATGGTGTCTCTTCTCAGCAATGGAAACCCTAACTAAGACACCTAGCAATTCATTTTTAAACCAAATCTCAAAATGGGTAGTAAAGACTGATGAAAATAGAAAGAAGTCACACAGGAAGAAGTAACAGTTGGTTTGTATGTCTGTCATGCAGTACTGGATGCAGTTAGGGGCCAGGCTCTGTGTCAGCCCTATTAAGTCATGTGTTAGATAGACTCTAGGCTTATTTTAAGTTTACTCTGTTGTTGCTGCTACTTGATTGTATTGGTGGCTGTAAACGATAGTTACAATCAGAAACATGCAATCCTGCTTGTTACAGAAACTCTGAGAAATGTCTGACCATCATCCTTTCTGTAAAAAGGAAAACCCAGGTTGCTGAGACCAAGTGATTTCTCTGACGACAACGTGACACACATTTGTAGGAAAGTTTCATCTTGTTACCTACTGTATGTTGTCTGGAGCACACAGGAAAGCTAGAGTGTCCCTAGTTCCCAGGAGCCATCATGCCCCTGTACAAATATACTTGCTTCTTCAGAGCCTCATCGTAACATGTGCGGCATGCTGCTGGTCTTGTGTTCCATCAAAATGTCATTGTTCTCTACTGATCTGCCCTGTTTATATCAGCCATGGAAGAAGTCCAGAAGTGCATGTTCTCTCTGCTCTGTGACCCTGAACTTCCCACAAGAAAGACCTTGTGTGCCCCACCCCCATCATCTCACTGCCTCAGCCTCTGAGACTCTGGTTTCATGTCTCAAGACTGCAGCCCCTTCTCCGTAAGTACCTTTCCATATTTCTCATAGTCTCCTTTATTGACTCTGGATGACAAGGACCCAAGGACATCCTTTCTCCCTCTAACCCATAAGCATTCCTTCCTAACCACCAGGCTGCATACACTGCGCTCTACCACTCTCTCCCCCATTGGCTCCTGGTTCCTCCCTTCTCTCCCTGTCCTCCCTGTTCTTCCATGGCTAGCTCACGATCATCCTCTGGATTTTCTGCAGTGAAGGTTCCAGATGAGCTTAGTGTCTATGTGGCTATTCACCACAATTCAGTGGTTTCACTGGCTCTGCCCTCATCCTAACTCAGCCAGCCAGCATCCCTGGATTTGCCTTGACTTCACCATTTCCCACCAGGCTCCTCCCTCCACACCCTGGAGCCAGTATTCATTCTTCAGCCAATAACTATTTATTTAATCACCATCCCCAACATCGCCCAAAGCCCAGTGGGGTGTGTAATCCTTTCTGTCTTTCTTTTCTTCTTTTCCCCCACCTTTCTGCTTCCTCGGAGGAAGGTAGATTCCCTCTCCTCGATCCACATTCCTCTGTTCAGTGATCACCCTGTGAGGAATCTGAACTCTCCCTTGGTCATTCTCTCTCTTTAGTTTCATATTTCTCCAGGACAGTGACTACCACCACCCATGATATATACTGAACATGCCTATGTCTACATAACAGAACTAACTTTCCCAGACCCACATGATTCTGATGGGAATTCCTTTTTTTATACCTTTATCCATTATAGCCTAGAACGATTTATAGCACACAGTAGGAGCTCAATGATTCATAGCATACAGTAGGTTCTAAGTATCATCTTCTTTCCCGTCTTCCTTGGAATGAAAGGCGAGAAGGAAGGAAGTTTGGGTTTTCTAGGACATAGACATCAATATTACAGGGACGTACTTACTATATTGCCATAACTAATCAGGGCAATATTAATTTTGATTATTGCTTGATTAAATTCCAGGAGAATGCAAAGTGGCCCAACTTGCATGCAAATCTAAGATTATTACTGTTGGCTTCTTTCCCTGTTAATTACACTGTGAGTCTGAAATAAATATGGAAACAATTTGCAAACATTGGTGTAAGTTAGAGAGAAGGCTTCATTATCTGAACAGAACATTTGGGTAACTGTAGTTCTTTCAAGAAGTCTAAGGTTCTCAATGGAAATGGCTTGTGAGGTTGTCGTGGAGATGAATGCATGCAGGAGCCATCCAAGTAACAACTCGTGCCTGTAATGTGGGGAGATGTAGCTTGGACGTGAATAAACATTTATATCTGCAATTCTAGAAGCTTACACTATAAGGAATCAAGGAGGCATACTGTGACTTGCTAACTCAGTCATGTGGAAAAGACCCCAGTTGATTCTCCTTCCCTGGCCCTTTCTGGTTTTAATCTCATACAGGTAACAGGCAATGGTACTTTGCCATATACACATACTGTGAGGGTTGACTTCACTGTCAACCTGATGAATTCTAGAGCCACCTGGGAAATGGGCCTCAGCACATGCCTGTGAGGGATTATCTTGGTTGCCTGAATTGAGGTGGGAAGCCACATCCACTGTGGGCAGCACCGTTCCCTGGTCTGTGTGAGTGGAGAAGAGCTGAGCAGCAGGAAGCATTCATCCCTCTCTGCTTCTTGACCAGACGTTACCTGAGCAGCTGTTTCTGTCTCCTTCACTTTCCTTTCTTTACCCTTGAACTGAGGGGTAGAATAAACCCTTTGAATCTTGAGTTGCTTTTTATAGGCGTGTCTTATCATAGCAACAAATAAGGAAACCTTGACACCTAACAAACCAAAAGACAACCCAGAATTCATTGGCAAAACAGAGTCAATACAATTCCAATTGCCCTTGGAATTGGTTAGGGTTGGCAAAGAGTAAGATCCAACAGCAGAGTATCAGTTAGACCAGCCAAAACATTGTCAATTATTTAGTATAAGTATTGCAAGGGCAATTTAACACCAACATTAACATACTGATATAGTCTCTGCAGGTTCCTGAAAGGATTAAGAGAGGTTCAGTTGTCCCTTGATTTCCATGGGGATTAGTTTCAGTATTCCAACTGGGTACAAAACATCAAGGATACTCAAGTTACCTAGATTGGTGGAGTAGTATTTAGATACTATGTACACACATCCCCTAGTGTATGTTAAATCAGTCTCAGATTACTAATAATGCCCAATAGAATGAAAATACTATATATAGTATATAATATTTATACAATTTGTACTAATTTTTATTATAATGTTTTTGTGTTGATGTAAGTATGCGTGTGTATAACTTTTTGGGGGGCATGCGCATGTTACAGTGTATATGTGGAGGTCAGAGGACAACTTTGAGTGCCAATTTTCCCCTTGTTTGGGGCAGGGTCCCTTTGTCACACATGGCTATTGTTGGCTAGCCTGGAGGTTCCCCTGTCCTGCTGTAGAGACACTGGGATTAATTATTGTGTCTGGCTTTACATGGGTCCTGAAGCCTTAAACTCAGGCCACACTTGCACAGCAAGTGGCTTAATACTCTGGGTCATTGTCTCTGCCTTTTTGTTGCTGATTTCTTTCCTAAATATTTTCATTCTGTGATTGTCTGAATCTACAGATGCGAACCCAACAATATAGAAAGCCAATTTTGTTTTATGTAGTCAAAAGTATAAGCAAGAATATGTTTGTGTTCATGTGTGTGTGTGTGTGTATACCATCCTTTTTATGTCATGAAGTCACCTGCACATAGAGAGACATAGAGAGTGGCTGCTATAAAGTATTAGCAACACACTGGGTACACAGGAGCCTGCATACCCACTCACAGACGTATCAGGAGCGTCTGTGCCTATTGATCCCTTAGGTATGATTTGTCTCTGTATTTGTTTGTTTGTGTGCCACTATGCAGGGCCTGCTTACTACTCCAGTCTTGAGATGAAATGCTCTGGCAGGGAGCAGATGTACCAATTAATAACCTGTCAGGTCTGATGGCTAGAGGAGGGGGAACATGTCCCCACATGTATCTCTGGCATGGCTTTCTTTCCTATTTCAGGGTGCTGTGGGTCAGGAGACACATGCTGCCTCCCCAGGGAGGGTCCAAACTGTCTCATTAGTGTCTTTCTTTCATGACACTATGATGTGGCTTTTGGAAGGATGACTCACCTGCTCTTCTCCAAGGATCCTGAAGTGATGGAGCTCTTTAATCAGGGAGTTGGGACAGCCAGCTGTGGGAGAGGAGAATTAATCACAAAAGTGTCGCTGTCATTCTACACAGTGGTCCCTTTCTTATATACCATTGTGACTACCAACAGCTGATGCCTGTGCTGAGAAGGACACAAACATGTACCTGCAAACACGTGTCTCACCACCCACAAAGGTTCTAGACCTTCAAAGGAGAGTTGGCCTCTGCCTGGGCTCAGAGCGTCATTCGTTAGGAAAAGGCCTGCATGTGAATCCAGCCTGGCCTATTCCCTCCTTCTGTCACTTATAAATGTGCCCTGATACAAAGCTGGAGTCTTGGGGGCTGGGAGGGGACAGTCAGTGATTCTAGGTTCTCACATGCTGATCCAGTGGTATTTCCTGACCACCAGGGCTGGTGTTCTTCTCATTAAGGCTTAGGAATGGAGGCGTCCTGTCTTAGCAGGATCTGTTGAGGTTTAGAAACGTCCACCACCTTCGAGTTCCCTCAGTCTTCAGGCTTTCCCATTGACTTCCTCTAGTCATAAAATGACATAAATAAATCTTATACGCCTACTACATTTATAGATGTACACATCCGTGAATGCTTTGTGTCAGCTAAGACATGTTCCGTCCCTACCTTCTCAATGGAATTATTCCACAGCGTTAGGTTGGAGTCGTTCATAATATTAACTCCAGAAAGAAATTTGATATTAAAAACCTGTTCCTCTGAGATAAGCCCCACGGATAGCATAAATTCATTGACATTTCCATTAAGGAAATTGGATCATGTGTGGAACCCATCAAAGAAGCCACTGAGACAATTCTCCTTCACTCGGCACCAGGAGGAGAGAAAAGCAGAAGGGACTGAGAGGGTTTGTCTGCGTGAGGGCAGGTTAAGGAATGACAAGATTTGCCATCACATAGGTGAATGAGGTGTTTGTGTATTGTTCTAGACAGTAGGAATTACAGGGTAGGCTAGAGAAGAGAGGTGTCCACATAGGGCTGAATATTGATATGGGATTTTAAAGGGAATTTGGTATGATGATAATTCT